AACCATCAAGGTGGCACGAGGTCCAGTCAGTCTTTGAGAGTGGCACAAGACCTCCTGACATGGGCCTTCCCTCGATTTGCAAGTGTCAGAGCGATGCATATACCAGGAGGGTCGAATGTGGGGGCAGACTTATTGTCTCGCCACAGACCTTTGCCAGGAGAATGGAGAATCAATCCAGAAGTTGTTCAGATGATTTGGCGACAATTTGGCAGAGCACCGGTGGATCTGTTTGCCTCAGAACCCTCAACCCAATGCCCCCTGTGGTTCTCATGGACAGAGAAGTCCAGCCCGTTGGGTCAGGATGCGTTAGCACATGCCTGGCCAAATCTTCTACTCTATGCCTTTCCCCCCAACCCCTTAATTCTGCCAACTCTCCACAGAATTCTTCAAGGGGACCACAGGATTCTCCTAGTGGCACCGAACTGGCCAGGGAGACATTGGTTTCCAATGTTATGCTGGCTTCTCAATGGGGAGCCCTGGAGCCTACCCAGGAGGAAGGACCTGCTCCTTCAGTTATAGGGGCAGATATGACACCCAAACCCAGATCGGTTACAGCTCTGTGTCTGGCCGCTGAAGAGCCAGAATTACTGTTGACGTCTTGTGATGTTAGATGTTAAAGTGCAAAACACAATCCTGAATTCTAGAGCACCTTCCACCAGGAATATCTATGCTTGCAGGTGGAAGCTTTTCACTGATTGGTGTACACCAAGAAGTTTGGTCCCAGACCACTGCCCAGTACCAATGGTATTATGTTTTCTGCAGTCCCTGCTAGACGATAACAGGGCTCCCTCTACCCTAAAGGTATATGTGGCTGCAATTTCTGCCCAGCATGTAAAAGTAGATGGTCAATCACTAGGGCCACATATTCTAATCACCTGCTTTCCGAAAGGTACTCAGCGATTGCACCCTGCTCCATCGGTTAGAGTACCTGCATGAGACCTCAGTCTGGTTTTAAGATCACTTACACAACACCCATTTGAGCCAATGGAGCATTGTGACCTAAAGTGGATTTCAATAAAGACTGTATTCCTTTTGGCAATAACGTCAGCCAAACATGTTGGTGAGCTCCATGCATTGTCAACTAATATGTCCTGTATGCGTTGGAATGCGGATGGGTCAATGGTGACATTGTGGCCTAACCCCTCATTCCTACCCAAAAGTCTCGCAACATCATTTAGGAATCAACCAATTGAGTTGGTAGCACTTAATCGTTCGGTGTGTGACACACAAGAGGGCAATCCAACAGAACAAGTATGCCCAGTGCGAGCCCTTCGGGGCTATCTGAGTGCCACAGAGAAACTGCGGCGGTCGGACCAACTCTTTCTCTGCTACGGCGGGCCAAGAAAAGGGCAGCCTCTGTCAAAGCAGAGGTTGTCACACTGGGTGGTGGAGGTCATTGTCCAGGCATATAAGGAAAACAACCTGACAGTGCCAGCCGGCATAAAATGCCATTCAACAAGAAGTATCTCAACATCTTGGGCAGCATTAAAAGGTGTACCTCTAATGGACATTTGTGCAGCGGCTAATTGGTCATCCACTGATACCTTTTCCAGATACTACAGGGTTAATGTGGCAGCCCCTGGTGCTCTGGAAGCAGCAGTCCTCTTGGGACCCTCAACTTCAGCTTAAGGTTAGGAGTAGCCTCCTCGTGACCTTGTTGTTATGAGTCATCCAGTGGGAAGCACTGCCTCTGGCGGTCAGTAAGAACGAAATAGAACGAGAGTTACGAATGTAACGGTTCTATGAGTTCCGGAAAAGATGGTGGGAAAGGTCCGTAGCTCTTTACTGAAGTTCGATGGGAACAAATCAAGCAATGTGCGAAGGAATGGCTTAAAACGTCGGACACTATGGAGCTAACTTAGCTACGTTATTGATCCCATGCTGCAAGTAAGTTAAGTTACTTTCATAGCTAACATATCAATATTTTTTCATTATTTTGGATGATGCTAATTTACAAACTTCCCGATCAGAATCCGGATAAAAACACTGACGCGATGAGAGACGTTATCCACCATTGCTTAATCTGTTATATGGGTGAAAAAGAGGATGACCTCATCCAACAGTACAATGTGACAAGAATCAATCTTTATATTTATGGTGTTTTGAGAAATGTATATGTGCATTGTTTTTATTTGTAAAAATAGAAATGCAACTTAAACGATAGGCTTTTTGTCTAATTAAATTATATTTATTTTAAGTTTATAAAGTTTATAGCTATTGCTAATTTTCAACTCCTGTCCCTGGAAGGGCTTTTATACACAATAAAATTTACATGATTAACTACTTCAATAATAAAAAAATATAATAATAATATAAACATACATACATATCATATACAACTCTTATAATAATTCAAAATGAATACACTTTTGGTTTATTTTTAACCAGTTTTTAAGCCTGGAAGTGAACATCTTAAAGTCGGACACAGTCTTGATTTCAAAAGGTAATGAGTTCCAGACTTTAGAACTCTTCACAGAGAAGGTCGTCTGTCCAAAGCTGGTCCTGCAGTATGATATTTTAGAGTCAAGATTTGTGGAGCTCCTAGTGACTCGGATGTTGTCCTGTCTTACAATAAATGTACTTATAGTGGCTCAGGTGCTAGATGATTAATGCACTTATAAATTAGTTTAAAAAAGGAAAAATTGCTAAAGCTATCAAAATTGATTAAATTATATTTATTAAAGATGCTGCAATGATGATAACGTTTTGTTATGTTTTAATGTTTTTTTATCCAAAAGTTTTATTGCTCGATTATATAAAGAACCTATGCGTTTGATTGCAGTGAGAGCAGCTTGTGCCCAGGTATATAAAGCTAAAGTGAAAATATTTAACACAAAATAGATTTTTGTCAGCCACTAAAAAGGTAACACTTTATTTTGATGGTCCACTTTAGACATTCTACTAAGTAACTGCATCTACATGTTAACTTTATCTATTGACCCTAACCTAGCAGTCTACTGATACTCTGAGTTAGTTGACATGTAGTTACTATATAGTTAGTAGAATGTCTATGGTGGACCATTGAAATTTAATTCCCCCCTACAATAGTGTCACCAAATGTAATTTTACATTTATTTTATTTTTTCTTCCTGAATACACCCTCTGTCATTGGTGAAACTGTACTTATGTTATTGTGACAGTCTTTGTCTTTGTGGTCCACTGAAACATAATATTTTTATGTTTCAGTGATTACAAAGAAAATAAACTATAATGGTTTACTTGTAGTTGTCTTAGCATTTTAAGCTGTTAAAGAAATTTTACAACCGTACACAAATCAAGTTTATAATTATGGACAGACTTATGAGACAGACAAGATAAAAATAATGTTTGTTTTACAGTGTGACAATAGAGATATCCTGCAGCACATAATGAAAATTGCCATCTGCAAGAGGGATTCTCAGGAGTATTTCAGCATCATCTTGGAGGGGTGGCAAGTCATGGCTGGCTTGGAAAATTTGACAAGAGCCTGTGCTGCTCTTATTGGACTTAAGTATGCAGTAAACCACACCTACCCGAAAGAACTGAGGCACGCTGACATGTTTTTGTGTAACAAAATGATGTTTCTCAATAACATGGAAAAAGTGCATTATGTATTCATTATTATAACATTTACTGTCTGAAAAAGGCAGTAAATGTTATAATTAAGTAAATTTCATTAATACAAATGAGTAAATTCTGCTTGATTTATTTGTGAAACGACTTAAATTTAAAAAAAAAGCACATTCCACTAATAATATTAAATTCATCATGTGCCATAGACTAAATAATTTAGGACATTTTACTTTATTTATTCGGGTAGATCTCACACACACAAAAGAAAACACCTTAAAATCTACTTAAATATAATACGTGTAATATTGTTACCATAATTTTTGTAAGTAGATAACATGTAATATTTTTTACAGTGTACATGCAGTGCAGTTACTGTTCGTGTATGCGAATTGACAATTCACCATTAAATGTGTTATTTTGAAAAGTGTTTTACTTTTTTATATATTATATTTTGGCTGAATTCTATTTGTTATTCAGATTTTACCTCAAACATTACCTTTGAATTGGAACAACATAATGAGAAGTAATTGGGATGTTAATGATAGAAGTTTTCTTGATAATCTTATGTTTACTGTGCCTAGATGGCAACTTCAGGTATATCACACATTTCAAACTGGTTTATTTTGTAGTTTACTGGTTTACTCAAGTGGTAATTTAGCATTTTTGGGTTTATATGATAAACAGGTTAAAAAATGCAAAATTCCCTATGGTTTCACTTTATTTCAAAATGGGCACCTTTAGCATAATTTTTCTCAAAAACTGCAAGGTTGTGTGCAGAGAACTTTTTCCTAAGGAATCTCTATATATTTCAGATGTTAAATAAAAAAAAGTAGTTAGTGCCCCACTTGTTGGAACGAAACCCTATTTCTAGGCCTCTTTTAGGCTACTGACAGCGGCATCTGTGGTGAAAATCAAGTTTTTAATGTTGTTTGTATGTCTATGTGGTGTTTAATATATGGATATGGATTGTTAAAAAAAATTGGGTACGTTTAGCAATATATAGAGGGTGAATTTTGTATATGATGTATATTACGATGTTGTGATTAACTTTATGCCACTGACGTTATAAGTGGTTCAAAGCATTTCTAAGGATATTAACTTTTGAAAGGCAGATGACGAATGGAAACATGGTTTGTGTAACATTAGCAACCTATTTTTTAGCTGGTTGATAACATAGTCAAGCAAAAGGCTAATCATATTAAATACATTGATGTGTCCGACATTGTAAAGAGCGATATCATTTTGCAGCATTTACCTCAGTATGTTGGCTGACTGAATCTCTGAGCTGGTGTGATTGAGTGGAGGTGGGGGTAGTTAGCATATTAATGGGTCTGCATTTATTAAATGAAGCAAGGGTGTAGAGTTACATTTAACCTATTTTAACCTTTAACCCTAAAAAAGGGCAACATGTACCACAAGATACAGCTAGGATTAATGTTTGATCTTACATCAGTTTCTCCAGTTTACAGTGAGGATCCTTCAGTCCATCAGAGAGCAGCGTCACACCTTTATCTCCTATTTTATTCCCAAACAGATTTAGTTCTCTGAGGTGTGAGTCTGGTCTCAGAGCTGAAGTCAGAGCAACACAACCTTCATCTGTGATCTCACAATATCTCAACCTGTAGAAAACAATGACACACACTGTAATCTCTCACTTCAGCAGTAACTACACAACCACAGAGACTGTAATATTAAATATTAAATCTGTTTAATGTTTTTTTTTTAAATTATTTACTTTTCATTTACTTTTGCTTTATTGTGTTATTGTAAATCATTATGATGTTCTTATGAACAACATAAGGATAATAATTCCTTAAAACATTATTTTTGTCTCTGTTAAGATTAATGCATGACCTTACATCAGTTTCTCCAGTTTACAGTGAGGATCCTTCAGTCCATCAGAGAGCAGCTTCAAACCTTTATCTCCTATTATATTCTCAGACAGTTCCAGTTCTCTGAGGTATGAGTTTGATCTCAGAGCTGAAGTCAGAGCAGCGCAACCTTCAGCTTTGATCTCACAATTAATCAACCTTGTAGAACAACAACATACACTTTAATCTCTCAGTTCAGCAGGAACTACACAACCACAGAGAGACTGTGGGTTTAATGGTTTTATTACTTTTTATTTACTTTTGCTTTATTGTGTGTTAATGTAAACAACAAAAAGAGAATAATCCCTTAAAATAATTTCATTTGTCTTTCAATTAATGTAATTAATGTATCATCTTACGTTAGTTTCTCCAGTTTACAGAGAGGATCCTTCAGTCCAACAGAGAGCAGCGTCAGACCTCCATTTTCTATTTTATTCCACGATAGATCCAGTTCTCTGAGGTGTGAGTTTGATCTCAGAGCTGAAGCCAGAGCAGCACAACCTTCATCTGTGATCTCACAATCCCACAACCTGCAGAACAATGACACAATCTCTCTTAGTTCAGCAGAAACTACACAACCACAGAGAGACTGAGACATTAAATATTAAAGGGACTCTGTGTAGATTTTTAGGTATTTTATTATCTGAAATCAATATTTTTATTCATAAATATGTCCTCAATGGTGTACAAATACCTCTGCAAATTATCTGACTTATCCTCGTAAATGAAGAATTTATTATCTTTATGTACATGGGACGGGTAGGTTCACGGAGGCTTCCATGTCCGTTCCGCCATCTTGAAAACTATAATAGCAGAGAGGGTCAAAAAGTACCACAAGCCAAACGCGTTTCCACAACGCGTTTTCGTTCAGACTCAGAGCCATCGTCACGTCACATTGAGAGGCGCATTCCCTGCAAGTTTAAACGGCTGCATTGCACTCCTATGATTGCTGATTGCTCTTTTGCTCTAATTGCGGACCATATGCCGAGTCACAGGAGAATGCATCCTCCTCGCAAAAAAAGGCCAGACTTGAACGAAAAAGGAAAAGTGAACGGAGATTGCAAAAAACAAGACCATTCATTTTTCCGTCATAAAATTAATCGGATATGGTTCGATTTTCTGCGTTTTTCGCATCCAGAGCCAGCATTTTGAGAGGTCTTTTGACAATTCAGGGCCGGGGGAGCTCGTCCTCAAATCATTGCACATATGCGCCGTGCTTTCAGTTTCGGTTTTCAATTCGATCAAGTGTTTATGTTCTCTTCTCTATATTGGATTATGAAATTAATAAACCTCCCCTTTCAATCAGATTGAAATTTAGGATCGAATAAAGTGTGATTGAGCAGCCTATTCGATAACTAATGTATTATTTGGGCACAATATACACAATACATACACAATAACAGCCTAGCTGTTCTGTCTGCCCAGCGCTTCCACAGGGCCGCGCGCGGGTGTGTTTGTGTGTGTGTGTGTGTGTCCATACCTGGTCCATACCAGACACACTGCCAGTCTCCGTTCAGAATCGATTGGTTCACGGAAATTGGTGGTCTTGTTTTTAATATGTGGCTCCAGAATCGCTAGCAAAGCATCAAACTGTCCCGCTGACATTCTGAGGTAAATTTTGAATCGCTCAGGATAAAATCGCAACTTCTTGATAATAAACTCCTTCCTCTCGGCGCAATTTCAGGATTGGATGGATATTTTCTATTTCTTCTCTTTTCAATATGAGAGAGGGCAAAAATCATCCTCACTGCTTGACGAATCCATTTGGTATTTTTGCGTTTTTTCCCGCAAAGGTTTAATAAATACGCAACGGACTCGGTGTGCAAGGTTTCTATGCGTGACGAATTTTTAGGCTGACGTACAGGAAAATACGCATACGAATATTTCGTGCTCAGTGTGCAATGGCCTTAAATATCGGGATAGCGTTTTCAACCGTGGAAAGAGCTAATGCAGCAGAAAGATTTCAGAAGAGACGCTGAAGTTGCCTGCTTTCTCCTCGACAGGTTAGTCAATGTTACAGTCTGACTTAATTTTTTTGTCATTGCTTGGTTGTGTACTTTATTATATAGACAGTATAACATTTATTGGTAAAAAAGTTAAACAAGGTCTTTGATGAATAGCAGCTATTGACTACTTTACTCGCAGCTATTGTGAAGGAAGGTGCTAAAAACAAGGTTTGTAAGTTAATTCTTTATAACCTATAAATTCAGTAAGAATATAGAGATAATGATTGTAAGAAAATATTGAAGAAAATATTGCTCTCTGTAAGATTTTCTATACAGCTTTCTTTTTATATATAAATGATCAATTAGCTAAAATTGTGATTTTGCTATGTGGATAAGATTGTACAGAGAATTAAAATTAATTTATACAGCTAGACAGATAAATTGTACACATAAGTTAACACATAAGTTGCTGTTTTTTTTTTAAGTTACAAACCTGTTCACCCGGAGAAAAACTCGATGAAGTGTTACTACAAGACATCCTGTCATAGCATTTTTGGTACATAACGGCAACCGTAGATGCAATACGCACTTGAAAAAGAGAGGCGCTGGAGAGCAAAATTCGTTTGAATGCAATATACTATTTAACCACTAGATGGGGGTATTTCCTACACAGAGTCCCTTTAAAGCTGTATGAGTTTAATGTTGTTTTTTTATTTTGCTTTATTATGTGCTAATATAAATAAATAATAATAATGTAAAATTACATCAAGTTGATTCTTGTCTCAATTATAATGAATGTATGATTTTACCACAGTTTCTTCAGTTTACAGTGATGATCCTTCAGTCCATTAGAGAGCAGAATAACTCCTGAGTCTTGTTGTTTATTCCCAGTCAGATCCAGTTCCCTGAGGTGTGAGTTTGATCTCAGAGCTGAAGCCAGAGCAGCACAACCTTCATCTGTGACACCTGAACATCTCAACCTGCCAAACAGCGACAAACACTTTACTTTCGCAGTTCAGCAGTAACTACAAATCCACTGAGAGTGTGATTAATGCGTGAGGGTGATTAATATTAAAAACTAAATCTGTGTGGGTTTAGTACATTTTGTTTACTTTTGCTTTATTGTGTTATCATAAATCACTATAATCCAAAAACATAAGAACAATAATCCTTTAAAATAATTATTATTTTTTCATTTAAGATTAATGTATGATCTTACGTCAGTTTCTCCAGTTTACAGTGAGGATCCTTCAGTCCATCAGAGAGCAGCTTCACACCTTTATCTCCTATTTTATTACCAGACAGATCCAGTTCTCTGAGGTCTGAGTCTGATCTCAGAGCTGAAGCCAGAGCAGCACAACCTTCAGCTGTGACACCACAATCACTCAACCTGCACAACAATGACACAATTTACTTTATCAGTTCAGCAGGAGCTACACAACCACAGAGAGACATTGATATTAAATATTAAATCTATGCGGGTTTAATGTTTATTTCTTTTTTTATTACTTTTGCTTTTACTTTATTGTTATAAATAAAATAATAAATAAATAAAATAATTATCATAAATAAAAATTCTCCAAAGTCTAATGCAAACAGGATGGTCACTATTAACTACATTAAAAACATGTTTTGTGATGTTAAAACTCTACAAATAATGATCCTGCATTTAATTTGTCTGTGTTTTCCATAGAGACTGATAGTTTGCACATTTTATGCATGCAGAATAAAAGTCTAATCAATATATAAGATCATGTAATAACCTCAAACTGGTTATTTTATGAGGAAAAGGTCATAAATTCTTTAAGCAAATCCAAACAGCAAAAATGGCAGATGTTGCATTCATACAAAAGTTTTCAGACTTGGCGAAGTTCACTATATCAGAAGATGAGAGAGAGTTTCATTTAAAGAGCAACATATGATGCCTTACAGATATTCAACACCTAAGCCTTAATCTTAATCTCAAGTTCACAGTTAATGTGGAAATGAAGAGAGTCATGTGTGAGTCAAGTTTGTCTTTTGTTAAAAAAGCAGGTCAAATTAATACCATTAAATTACCATAGACAACAATGAACAGAGAAGCACAGCATTACAAGACATCTGGTGATTGTCTTCAGACTTACTGAGCTGATCTGGAGGCTTCAACTACAGGCAAGAGCTTCTGAAGTAATTCATCTGCTGACATGTGGTTTTGGCCTTTTTTTCTGCTTCTGTATTTACTCAAATGAAACTCATTCAAACACTCTGAGGTTAATAAAACAAAGACAACAGCTGACCACTGTGACGAGGACAATCTGGTGCTTGAAAGACCTCCAGATCCGAGACACTCCTGGATTTCATTTACAAGAGAAATATCGCCCAGTTCATTTAAAGAGTGGAACAGATTGATAGATTTTTCCGGTGAGGGATTCATTCTTATTCTCGTCTTAATGTATTCAATCGTTTTCTCTTTACTGTACTGGAGTTTTCTAACGTGTGTCAGAAGGCCTTTCAGAAGCTTCTGATTGGACTCCAGCGAGAGACCCAGAAGAAACCGCAGGAAAAGATCCAGATGTCCATTTGTACTCTGCAGAGCCTTGTCCACGGCTCTCTGGTGCAGGTCAGATATCGTATGACATGTAAACTCATGTGCATGTTTTGAGCTGAGGTTTTCATTGAGCACATCCCTCTTGTACAGCAGGAATGAAAGCAGCACATAAAGAGCTCCTAGATGCTCCTGAATGCTCAGATGAACAAAGCAGAAGACTTTCCCCTGATAAAAGCCCAACTCCTCTCTGAAGATCTGAGTGCACAATCCCGAGTAAATTGATGCTTCGGTCTCATCAATGCCACACTCGCTCAGGTCTTCCTCATAGAAGATCAGGTTGCCTTTCACAAGCTGCTGAAAGGCCAGTTTCCCTAGTTTGAGGATCATGTCTTCATCCTTCACTTTCTTCTCATAGTCCTTCTCTTGTTTGATTTTGGTCTGAATGATCAAGAAGTGTGTGTACATTTGAGTGAGAGTCTTGGGAATCTCTCCGCTCTCTGCGCCACTCAACATCTTCTCTAAAACAGTGGATGAGATCCAGCAAAACACTGGGATGTGGCACATGATGAAGAGGCTCCTTGATGACTTCAGGTGTCTGATGATTTTATCGGCCTGACTCTGATCACTGATTCTCTTCCTGAAGTATTCCTCCTTCTGTGGATCATTGAATCCTCGTACCTCAGTCACTCGATGCAAACACTCAGAAGGGACGAGATCGGCTGCTGCTGGTCTGGAGGTGATCCAGATGAGAGCAGAGGGAAGCAGATTCCCCGCAATGAGGTTTGTCAGCAGCACGTCCACTGGGGCGGATTCAGATATATTACACAGTTTCACATTAAAATCCAAAGTCAGACGACACTCATCCAGACCATCAAAAACAAAGACCACTTTATATTCACCAGTGAATGGTTTAATTTCTTTGGTTTCAATGAAAAAAACCTGCAGAAGATCTGAAAGACTGAGGTTTTTGTCCTTCAATAGGTTGAGCTCTCTGAAAGGAAGTGGAAATATAAGCTGGATCTCCTGATTCTCTGTTCCTTCGGCCCAGTCCAGGATGAACTTCTGCACAGAGACTGTTTTTCCAATGCCAGCGACTCCTTTTGTCAGCACAGTTCTGATGGGTTTGTCTTGTCCAGGTAAAGGTCTAAAGATGTCTGTGCATTTGATCGGTTTGTCCTCTGTTGCTGCTCTCCTGGATTGAGTTTCAATCTGTCTCACCTCATGCTCATTATTGATATCTCCACAATCACTCTCTGTGATGTAGAGATCAGTGTAGATCTCATTCAGGAGTGTTGGGTTTCCCTGCTTTGCTGTTCCCTCATAAAGACACTGAAATTTCTTCCTCAAATTTGATCTAAAGGTCTTGAGGGCTTCAGGATGTGGATGGTCACTGCTGTAAGATTAAAATAAAAACATGTTATATAACTTATATTATGAAATATAGTTGTCAGATAACCAATATGCATGCAGTATAATAGGCATGATTTTATGTTGCGATATTGTCATAATCAGGGTGCGATTTGTGAAAAAAACAGAGGGGGGGATGTTTTGAAACATTTTTATTCCTAAAAATAAATCATGAGAACATGAACTTCATCACTGCATTTGCAGTAAAAAAAATAAAAATTTAATAACTCATGAAGTATCCTAACGCAATATTTATATATGAACTGTGATCACTGATCATGCACAACGAAAAAACATGCAAGAATTAAATCAATAGATTAATGTACCGTATTTTCCGCACTTTAAGGCGCACCGGACGCACCTTCAATGAATGACCTATTTTAGAACATTTTTCATATATAGGGCGCACCAGATTATAAGGCGCATAAGATACTGTAGTCAAATGTTTGACTGGGTTTTCGTTATGCATCCACTAAATGTGCTAAAGGGAAGTGAGTGTGCGGCGTCGGAGGTGAGGCATTTATTTAGTAAGCGCAAAGCGTGAGGCACGTAACTTATATACGCAGCCTGACTCATATGAGTATTCAATGTGCGGCGGCTCGCTGACAGCAACAGCTGGCTGTTTTGAATGAGACGACCCGGTTACTGTGAACGGGGAGCGCTTTATATGAACGTTCTGTGACGCGTGAGCAGCGCCGGGGACAGTGTGTCTGTTTGTGTGTGTCTGTTAAGAGTGAGCGCTCGTGAGCGGGCACACGACTTACACACATAACCTGATTTATACGAGGTTGAACTGGCCGCATGACAAAGCGGGCATAAGATGGACACGAGCGCAAGTTCGCGGGCGAATTTAATAACGCAGAGCGTTGTTAACCAATTGATCCATATATAAGGCGCTCCGGATTATAAGGCGCATTGTCATTTTTTGAGAAAATTAAAGGCTTTTAAGTGCGCCTTATAGTGCGGAAAATACGGAAGGCTAATTTATATCAGTCTCTCCTGAACCACGGAAGTTAAACCATCATAGAAACAGTTTTACTGCTGCTGTTAATGTTTACGTTACATTGTGATGCTGAGCTACAGTGAAATGATAGAAAAGACAGATGGATTATCTATGTTAGTCAATTCGCCTCATTCGCGCCGCAGAACCTCTAGATGTGTGTAAACGCGTCTTTACATAACATTGAAATCACTCGCGCCAGACGTTCAAGAGAGTGACTAATTAAAAAACCTTTGCTTTAGTCTCAGTTTAAGTTTAGTCTCGTCTCGCAAGTATTGATAGGCGTGAGGTGTAACCAATCAGATAGTGCCGTGGGCAGGACATTGAGCAAGTCTACAGACTCGTGCAGAGCGGCAGCTATATAAGAGTTAGCCAAAGTAGTGCATTTAAAACTAAAATTGACTTTAATCAAACCACGGATCCATGATAAGTTTTCTGATCCGTCTCACCACTAGTGTAGTGCTGCACTGATCACTGATCACTTTGAGGGGGGGATAAATTTATCCCCACCGGGGATAAAAATAATTAAGCAGAGGCAGGGATACATTGACCAGAAAGGGGGAAATCCCAGTCTATGAAATGAATTGTTTTTGAAACGAGTCATTAGCTGGTTCGTAGTGACGTAGATACATACTGGCCGCGCCCAGTTACTACGCTTGCAGACGGAAGTGTAAACTTGAAGTCTACACATTCAAATACGTCATAATAGCATCATGTCGAGAAGACACTGTGTTCTACAATGCAAAGAGAGTTCAGCCACTTTGTTTTCATTTACCAGGGACGAGCATGTGAAGAATCGGTGGTTAGAGTTCATATTTGCAACGATACCACAACAGTATAGCTCGATTGTGTTATCATCATTTTATTGACGAACAACGTTAGTTCAAAAACATAAATGAATTCAAATGTGGATTCGCAAGCGGTTGTTCCTAGGGCTCAGTAACTTACTTACATGGATCAGCTTCCTCCTTCGAATCACAACCTGTAAGTATTATTAATAATTGTTGCTTTTTATGGGTTTTGAACGGTTTTGTTGCGTCGGGGCGTGAGGCAGTATGTGTGTGCGCGTGTATCTGTGTGTGTGTGTGTGTGTAAGTTACGCTAAGCGCAGTTTCTAGGTCTCCAATGTCAATTTTTTTTTAAATATGTGAAATATTTGTCGCTGTTATTAGAGTTGTCATAAAGAATAGTGCGTCTTGCAGTAGGCTACTGCAGTGCTTTATCAATATGTTTATGCGTTATGCTAACAAACAACTGACTGGGTCTGTCATCAGACCAATCACCGCCGATTAGCGTCACGCAAAGGAGTGGTTTGGAAAAATGAGTCGTTGTACGAATCATTTGGGAATCAGTGAGCAAATCAGTTAAAAATAAATGCATATTATAAGACAAAAAAAGTGTTTTTTATCCTTGCATGCATGTTAAACTGTTTTTTGGGAACTCCTAAAACAAAAATAGGAACATTTCAAATGCTATGATAGGGGCTCTTTAACTGTGCAAGCATTTATTACCTGATAATAACGGGAGGTCTTTGCAAGAGTGCAGAACGCTGTGAGCTCATTGAAGTGATGACAGCTCCAGTCATTGTACTGGTTGCTTTGTTTAACCCATTCAAAAGTTAAATAAAATGTTTGGTTTTCATGCTGCAAACAGGACCATCATCCAGATACACACTGTAAAGTAGAGTCCTGCACAGGTCCTGTTTGATAAACCCTTAGTACTTAACAGAACACCAACCCACAATCTGACAGTAGCACTGTGACCCAAACTGTACCCGCATAAAAATATGTAACTATCTATCTCTCCTGAAACTCTGCAGTGTAAACATGGCATCACAATGAAACAAACAGAAGAGAACATGGCAATCTAACACAGAGACCATGTGCTCAACCAAAACACATGGAAAATGACAGCACCGATTCCACGATCCCAACACTGAAAAAAAAAAACAGACCAGACAGAACTGACCAGATCCTGACCCTATGCTCCAAATAAACAAAAAATGAACCAAAACCCAGAAAAATTATTCTGCAAAATTGGAAGAATAAACAAATGATCTTGACAATACAAATAAAAACAGACAAAAGTGTCAGGGTCCTGAAACAACATACTGTAAGTCTATCGGGATAAAAGTCTTTCAAATGCATAAACGAAAATGTAAAAATGATTAAACAATAAATGTGTAGTACAGCATTTACCTGAACCCAAGTTCAGTATGTCCACTTAAGGTACGTTGAGGATTTATTGACTGGTCACTCTTCATGGACACACAGCTGGGTTCTAGAGGGTCCAGTCTGTGCATTCAGATGAACACAAAAAGTGAATATAATTCACACACTCTTATATTAATCACTTTTGTAATGATTGATTGTTTTATGCATAATATTTATTAATATGTACTGTCCTGTTAGAAACATAACAGAACGTCTAGGTTACTAACGTTACGTCAAAACTGAACTGACGAATTGGGATCTTGCCTGGTAGTGTGGGTTTCCCCATGCTCCCTTCCCGCAGCATGATTTTATTCACGCTGAAAGGCAGTCTGGATACCATGGCCCAGATTTTAGCCTCATTTAGGGAACCAATCACAGAACGGGGAGGGAGCAGCAAGACGATGACGACATCTATGCAACACACCGAAGCAGTTTGTTTATTTCTATGGATTCAACATGGCAGCATACGCGAAGCTACCTTTTGATGCAGCCTTATTTTGTTTAGAATGCAAGTTTATTTAGAAAAAAGAGCAGCTTTTGGCGTTAAACTTGGCGAGACCCCAGTCGTTATTGTTGTCTCGCCATTAATCGGCCTAATGGAGGACCAGGTGCAGGAGGCGGTCAACCTTGGAATATCTGCCACTCAGGCTCAGCTCTGTCCCAAGAAAGAAAATGCGTTAAAGAATTGTTGATACCAACTTCTGTTCGACAGTCCCGAGGATCCCCGAGTCCCAATGAGCGCAAAGTGGCAAGACATGTAAGCCACGGAGTTGTATAGTACCAACCTGCTATAGGCATCGCCGTCAACAAATTCCATTTAACTTATAAATGTAAAATTATAAAATTATAAATTCTAAAATTGTTTGTAGAATTTGTCAAATTCTTATTTTCACGTGGGTGCGCTTTCCCATACTGTTTCCTTGTGTAAGCAAAGGCAGCTGGAACATTTATTAAACATGTAGAATAATTTCCAAAGCATTACATATAGTATTACAAATTCAGACATTTGTGATATATATATAAAAAAATAAAACATAAGATTATCTTTTAAAATCAATTGAACATGGAGCAGTTTTTCCTGTGAGTGAGACTGGAAAACCTGTAGTGGATTAGAGCGGAGTGATAACAGAACGTTTTAGAGTGCAGAGAGGAACAGGCTTTTGCTCCAGTCCTGGCTTTGCGTCCGCGCCGTAAGGAGCTCAACATCTGTCTCGCATGTACGCTTGCTCTATATTAGAGGATATTTTAACTAATTTGCGGTAAAACTAGTCGATCACGAGTGGCTCATCAGGTAGATCTATAGATAAACTCATCTTGCATGCATTTGACCGGCCGGGTTCACACTTCAGCGAGAGAAATCGGGGGTGTGGCATGAGAGCGTGAGAATTGGCTCAATTGCGTGAGTCTCACGCTCAATGCATGAGAGTTGGCAACCCTGCCTGTAGACTACCTACTGTGGTTGTCACAGTGCCACTAAGTTGTGTTGCTTTTCAAAATCAATATACAGCTACCGTTTTAGTAGCATAACTTTCAACTGTGCACTTGGACCCGATTAAAGTTGTTGACACTTTAGTTATTAAATTGAATTTTTTACATTTTTAAACTTGTGCAAGCGCAAACAATTTCCAATGCAAATAACAACTTCAACATCTATGTTAAACTGTACTTAATACTTGTGTTTTTCTAATTGAAACGATTGGCTATGAGCTACGTACAGGAGCATTTGATAGACATTCTTAGCACCCAATAAACGGCGCCAGGCATTCGTAAACCACGCCTCAAATATGGGAAAATGAACATGTGGTTCCCAGACCCAAGTCTCAACGAGAATTGGGTCTGGCGTTAGCCAGGCTACTTGCCTGGGAGACTTCCTGGGAATCCACTCCCTGCTTCCGAGTTCCAAATTTATAAGGCAGCATGCAAACACATTTCACTTTCAGCTGAGGAGCCAAGTCGGTGTCCCGGCTGTTCCAGCAGAGGTACAGGAGTTTTGGTGATAGGACGTAACGTCTCCGATACCTCCTTCAGGTAACGGAGGTTACATTAGTCCCCTAGACGTTCCCTATCAGTCAGTCACGTTCAACGTCACCTCAGAACTGAACTTCCAGCGCCCAGAGTCTAGTCCCTCTGCACTTGTTGGGATGGAAGAAAGGACAGGGCTTTGCAACAAGAAAGTCAGTCACTGGTGTTCCTTCTCACCCTATACAGTGAGACTATTGGATAACACTGGGAAAGCGAGCCTAACAGACGTACCCACAGTGGGGCAGCGATGTGGAGCTCAGGGGTAGTGATAGCAGAGGAGGCACCAGAGCAATTTCTGGCAGAAAAAGATGCCTTCCATGACTTTGTAATCTCCTTGTGGCATTTCTGGGAAGATCCTGCTCTGAACACATTTGGGGGTTCAACTCGAACAACACTACTCTCCCCGAAGGGGGCAGAGCAGCCGAAACTTCATCCCTAGAGGACTCAAGCTGACACTCTGATGCAGCGATCGTCATCCCCGAATGAGATGCTGGGTCCCCCATGGGAAGCACCAGCAAACGCAGCCAGAAGCTCCACAGTTTGCAATGGAAAAGACGAGTGGGAGGGCTGCCAGGAGGGGTCCCACTGTAATCCTCATATCACAACCGATGGCTCTCTGCTGTAATCCCAATGAGGCCAATTAGTCAGTTCAGTTGACGTAACGTTGAACGTGACTGACTGAACTATTAACTGGTATAGTCCACATACCTAAGCTGTTAATTATGATCTTCATTCTAAAATACATTGCATACAAGCATTGAAGACCCAAGATTACATTTGAAAAATTATTTTAAAAGAATGTTAAAACAGATGTCATAAGATAAAGATACTTTAGTTCAGTGTTTACCTAAATCCATGATCAGTGTGTCCACCAAGCTTAGGTGGAGGATCCATTGACAGGTCACTCTTCATGGACACACAGCTGGGTTCTGGAGGGTCCAGTCTGTGGATTGAAGTTGAACACAACAATGTCATTCACACACTCTTATTAGCATGGCTATGTTTTATCATTTATGTTCTGAGACTTTCATTTTAATGTTTTTTTTATATATATCTGGAGCCTGTGAATTCCTGTTTCCTGTGTTTTCCTTGGTTTATATGGGCTCCATTTTATTCTCAGTTGTTTCCATAGTTACTCATTTTTGGTTCTTCACCTATTTCTTTTTTAGTTGAAAGTCACCCTGTGTATTTATACTCCTCAAATTAATCAGTCCATTGTTGTTTATTGTGTTTGTCTAAAAGCAAAAATGTTTAAGTTGCATGTTTGTGCTCCCTTAACTGTCAGATTATCATGTTTATTTGAATATAATATATTTTATTTGATTATCTTGATTATCTGCTGCAAACATCCCTGTCTCAACATAGCCTTCATTTTACCTAGACTGCACCACTAAACTCAGGGATGGACTGGGACAAAAAAAATCAGCTCTGGCATTTTTAGTCCAGACGGCCCACCACTGCAATCCAGAATCGGCCCCGACGGACACCATCTCTATATTTGCTGCTTAAACAATTGGATCCTGCAACTGCAGCTTATTGAGAGTCTGCAAATCAGTGCCATATGAAAAATTGAGTTTTAAACACTTTAATATTTCTATCATTATGTTGGCCCTTAGAAGTTGCTTTCTCCCTGTCGTCACTCTCTCTCGCTGCGTCTCCCCGTTCAGTGAATGGCTGAGAGGAACGCACGGCCGCTGACAGACACGAATGAGCAGTGTTTTTCCAAGGACTTATTACTTATCTGCTTTTCTTTTGTTTTATATTTAAAGATTTTAGATTGATCGTTTTCATTTTATTTCTTTTCTTGTGCTTATTATTACTTGTAAAACTCAATATCACAGAGCTTATTCATCAGGTTCCCTAACTCTCTCAATTCAGATATTCATATACATCAGTGGGAGAAACACTTATAGAAGGCTTTCAGTCCACAAATCAGCAACATTCACCATGGATTTATGCTAATGTAGTAAGTTAACTCTAACCATAAATATGATAATGTGACAGAAATAGTCACACATCTTTTTCCACCACTTCATAAACTATGATATCATAAATGTTGTATTTTTTATGTGATGACCAACACTTTTTTTGTTCATCCTTTAAAAATTGTCCTAAAATGAAAAATGTTACTATGTTTGAAAACTCTTATTAAAAACACTTATTAAAAAAATAATAATAATAAAAACTTCCACTGGAGGTGATCGCGGGCGAGTGCAGAATGGATGGGAGTCTATGGGGCTAAACGGCTAAATGTGTCTCTGCTTGTCATTAAATCAAAATAGATTTTATTGTTGATTCCGCAAGTTCAATATAGATTATAGGCCAAAAGTCGAATGAACGAGTACTTATGTCATTTTGATTTCTTAGGCTGTTGTTGGCCGGAACACGCTAGCATTTTGCTATTGTGTTACGTCATCATGATCACATTTTTGAATGGATTTTTAGAACAGATAAGTGAACTTAAAAATGCAATTTTCAGCTGAGTGTATTATCTTAGCCCTCCCCTTTGAATGCAACTTTCAAATTACTTGACAAAAAATTACATCCTGAGAAAAGTGGATTTCTGCATTCTGCACTCTACCGCGAGCGCCCCCGCATGGACAGAGACGCGTTACTGCAGCAGTCCAGTACCCGGAAGTAACCAGCCAGTGACAATTCTCTTCAATTAGACATTCTCTGTTCACTGTATTTTCTCTCCTTAATATACATGTTTTCACTACTTTTGTTTTTTAATTAATATTAAGACATTATGAATGATAATAACTAAAGTTAATTTCATCTACACCCTAAATTAAGCTTAGTGATTTATTGTCAGCCCTAGTGCAACCAATTTTTTATTTATTTTTTAATGTATTTTTTTTGTAGAACTTGTTTGAGGTGGCACTGCCCTCAAATTTGAGTCTCTGGAGCCCTGTGAACTTACAACAAAACTGCATGTCGTAATATCTGTATGTTAAGTCTATTTATTATTAAAGAATTTGTCAGTATTACAGTTATTTTGGGGGAAAATTGAATAATTGCATTGCAAGCTGATGTGTGCCCCTAAATGTTCTGCTTGCGCTCCTAAAATTTTCAGTCAGGGGCAACAGCGCTCCTAGTCAAAAAAGTTAGTCTGTAGCCCTGAAGAAGTACTTTTGACAATAAAACAAAAATATATTAATCAGAGTGTGGCTTATTTTGTTTACATTTTAAGTGTTTTTATGATAAAATACAATACCCCACCATTGGTATCACTATGGTATTTGGTACGGGGGCCCAGCAAGATGGTTTGTACCCAGGGCCCAAAATTTGGTGCTACGCCCCTGAATACAGGCACTGAACAATTCTTTAATTTCAGCACAAAAGATAAGACAAACGGCTTAAAGTGTTTACCTAAACCCAGGATCAGTGTGTCTACTAAACTTAAGTGGAGGATCCATTGACCGGTCACTCTTCATGGACAAACAGCTGGATTCTGGAGGATCTGGTCTGTGGATTTAATTAAACACAAGTGAATTTAATTCACACAGTATTACATTTGGGACTTTTGTATTTAACTGATTCAGGTGACTGAATTATTCCATCAATATTTATCATACTGTTGGAGATTTTAAAACAAGTGCACATCCACATATCGGAGCTGTTGATTGAGATATTTCAATATCTTCTGAAATGCATTGCTTACGGAAACTGAACAATTATTTCTTTATTTCAACACTGATGTAATAAAATAAGCATTTTAGTAAAGTGTTTACCTAATCCCAGGATCACTGTGTCTACTAAACTTAAGTGGATGATCCATTGACCAATCACTCTTCATGGACACACAGCTGGGTTCTGGCCGGTCTGATCTGTGCATTGAAGTTGAACACAACAAGTGAATGTAATTCACACACTTTAATTTTTAATGATTTTTGTAATTAACTGATTTGGGTGACCAAATTAACCATTAATATATGGTATATTGTTGGAGATATTACAGCAAGTGAGACTGTTAAGGTACACATCCATTTATCAGGCACTTTCTAAGTTTCAACAAAAAATATGTATAAAGACAGTTTAATACAGTGTTTACTTAAACCCAGGATCAGTGTGTACACTAAACTTAAGTGGAGGATCCATTGACCGGTCACTCTTCATGGACACACAGCTGGATTCAGATGACTTTGGTCTTTGCATCTGGACTGAACTGAAACAAAACATCAAGGTAAATTATAATAAGACACTGTGATAATGATTGATTGATTGTTGATTAACTGAATAGTTATGCTAAATGAAATACCAACAGGAAAGCGTGCCATTTGTGCGTGAAAACCACACCCAATTTGAACTATTAAGCTAAAAGCACACATTTTAAATATGAAGATACATGAGGTTGTGGTAATTATCAGCCAGATATTAACTTTAATTATTAACAAAATTAACTTTTGTTAGACAATAACTTTCTTGTCATAAAGCCAAAACAATCTCTGTTGATACTTTAATTTACACTGTAAAGCAGCTTTAGAACTACATTTTATAAAAACGCTATATAAATGAAGATGACCTGACTATTTTATTTTTTTTTTTTTAAGAAGATTGTCAAAGTTAAACAGTCTGACCATATCTTTTCTAACTCGATGTCTTGGCGTTTTGACTGCAAATTCAAACAAAATCTAGCTACTTTATCATAGGCCTAATTTAAACCTTCTAAAAAATGATGTTGGGCCTACACTTTAAATCATAGTTCGCAAAACACAGTGGACCAATGCGACATGGTGGCAGGTAGAAAACGCGCAAATTAAAATGAGATTATCATGTATCAAGTATCATTGTATCTGTAATAGGCCTATTTACCTGTGTGGAAATATATCTGTGGACGGGTCGTCATGACCATCATGGTGCTCCATCAATCTAAAATCTAAAGGAAGAAACTCAACACTCAACACTGTCCAGATGTTTCCAGTCTTCATAAAATGGCAGCAGGGCGATGAATTTTACTTTCTCTTTGATAACCACCTCAGGTGAACAGAAAAGGGGCGGGCGAGATCTTTTCCTGATGCCAAACAGACCGAGTAGGGGGAGGCTGCAGACCTGGAGCCGGCAGTTTTACGCCCCTGACCGTTTCCACGCCCCTGACAGTTTTAGGGGGGAGACTACATTAGTAAAGTTATATGAGCTTAGTCCTATATCATTACAGACATTCTTGACTTGAAGCGACGCGAATTAAGGTATTTTTAATAATCTGCTAAAGTTATTGTTGTTGATTGTATTGTAATTGATTGTATTGTAATGATGCAATATTAATTATTTATAAACGATTTGCTAAGTTTTAAGCACGATTTGCTTTGGATTTCAATTCAAAAGATGGGTCTATAATTTAATAAAAGTCTCGATTATTTCGAGAGAAAATAAAAGTTGGCTACTTTTGGCTCAACCTTGGCAAACTTAACCACATATAGGTTTAAAAGCTGCCCTAGTCTTCTCTTTGTCTCACTTACTTTTAAATTTAATTTAATTTTTATTTTTATCTAGTCTGTCTTTACCTTGCGTGACATGGCATCTTCTTGTAAGACCCTGTTTACTTCTTTGCATTTAAACATAGCCTACTAAACGTGGTTGATGGAGCAACATTAGAGTGGATATTGGAAATGTGTTAATTACAGTTTATGATGTGTACACAAACACATATAATAGGCATGTATGTATGTATGTATGTATGTATTTAAATGCAAATTTCTCTAAGTAAAAATTCGAAATGCACACTCACTCTAATATTTTGTCATATAATACATAAACATAATGCATTATAAAGCCCACATTAAAATCTTTGGTCCCATATGGTTTAATTGTAGATTTTGGTTTAAGTTGTTTCTTATAATGAGATGATCTAATTTTCTAATGTATAACATACAGTTTTCTTAAAATAGCTTACTGATTTGGACTAAAATGTATGTGCACTTAATGAGTGTTTTATCATACTCTGTCTTTAGTTTTTTTTTTTTTACTTGTATCTCATTAAAGGGATAGTTCACTTTGAAATGATTTTTTTATGTTTTAGCTTACCTCAAGGGCATCCAAGATGTAGGTGTCTTTGTTTCCACAGTATTTTCAAATTTTGATATTTTTAGGTCAAAGCGTTCTTGTCTGTCAGTCATATATTGCAGGTGTACCACCCCAAAGAGCATGCACAGAGAAGTGCAAATTAAACATGATTTAATGACTCGTAAATGTAAGTACACATTGATGGCCTAAGACACGAAACGAGCGTTTTGTGTGAGAAAACGAACAGTATTTATATCGTTTTTACCTCTTGTAATCACAGTCACGTCCAAGTACTCTGAGGGCGAGGGTGATTCTGTCTGCGCTCGTTGCATTGATACACGTTGCATATACATATTGATAACCGCTCGTTTCGTGTCTTAGGCCATCAATGTGTACTTACGTTTACGAGTCATTAAATCATGTTTAATTTGCACTTCTCTGTGAATGCTCCAAGGTGGACCCCATAAACCTCCATTATATGACTGAAAGATAAGAACGGTTTGACCTAAAAATGTCAAAATTGAAAATACTGTGGAAAAAAAAAAGACACCAACATCTTGGATGTCCTTGAGGTAAGCTAAAACATATCAAAAAATTAATTTCAAAGTGAACTATACCTTTAAAGTGAACTATACCTTTAAGGTGTGTGCTACTTAAGAAAATTAAAATCTCTATCTCTAAACTTTTATAAACACCCATCTTTTGAATCCCCAAAAATGTTTAACCATGACATCCTGCCATTATTTTATAACCATTGTTTCTACCACTATTCAACTTTATGTGGGGAAATCTAGAAAATACATTGATAGAATATATATAATTTAATAATTGTTATAAGATAATTGTGAGTTTAAAGCTAGACCCCCCCCCCCTACCACCACCACCACCCCCAGGGGGGTAATAGTTTTTGTTATTTCACAGTTATTTTGTAATAGTTATTTAATTAGTCAGTATATGCACTTACAGGGGTTGGACAAAAAAACTGAAACACCTGGTTTTACTACACAATAATTTGTTAGAATGGTGAGGGCCTCATTTTGCATCCAAATACAGCACCAATTGACAGATAGAAGTCTTCACAGTGACCAGAGGGATTATGAGCCGTTCCTCTTCCAGAACAGTGTCCAGGTCACTATATGATGCTGGTGGACTCGCTCCTCCAAAACACCTCAATAATATTCAGATCTGGTGACTGTCAGACCATGGGAGATGTTCAACGTCACTTTCATCTTCATCAAACCCTTCTGTCACAAGTCTTGCTGTGTGTGTTGGTGCATGATCATGCTGATACACGGTTTGAGCATCAGGTGCTCATGATCCTCCAGAAGGGTTTGGTAGTCCCCGGCAGTGTCGTGTCCATCAAATACAATCAGGATTGTCATGATATTGGAGCTCAAACCATCACTGATCCACCCGTGCTTCACTCTGAAGATTGGCCGCCAGGCATATAGATGTGAAACCTCCAACATTGGCCAGTGTTTCAGTTTCATTGTCCAACCCCTGTATATTCGTGGTACACAGCAATGTGAGCTGTGTCCAGTGGGTGGCGGTAAGCCAGAGTAAAAACCTGGAAGAGGTGTGTTCGACATCGCCTGCGGCTGGATGCAACCGATCGGCGAGAACAGCCGCGTGCAGGCGGGGAGGAGCTGCAAACGGAGACGTGAAGTCGGACAATTTCTGGTTCCCGTAGTGACGGCTCACGTGGTGTTTGCATGCTTATACCACAGCTGAAGTGAAATAAATGCAATATTTGCCAAATAAACAGATATTTCAGACACATTTTCATTTAATACTTTACTGCTTCATACAGCATCTGTTTGAACTAGTATAAAGTTCAAAATAAGCCTATAATCAATGACGTGGAATCAACGTTTTTTAATCAGTTTTATTTTGATAAACATGATAAACATGGCACAACATAACATTGCGACTACATGAAAAGAGTGTTTACTGTTATAAAATACTGATTTGTTAGCTTTAGTGGAACTAAAGGTGTGAGAATAAACACGAAACGCACGTGATCGTTGTCATGCGGTGAATCCGGCGAATCGTGGAACAGCTGTGACATCATCAGAGCTCGTGCAGCCGCTCTTGAGAAGCTGCGCTGGCTGAGTCCTCCGGCTACTCTCGTATCGCTCTCGCGGTACTTTGATGGCATATGTCACAGTCACGTGGAGTCAGCGCTGCATCAAGTCGGACAAAATTTCTAACCGGCATGCACTGTTTCAAGTCAGCCGCCGATCGGTCTGCGCAGAGCTGCATGAAGTCGAACGAGCCTAAAGAGAGTGAGTTCACGTGAGGTTATGACGAGATTAGTGTAGAGTTATGTTGTACTGCGTCTGCGTTGCACGGAGCTGTTGCGAATGACGCTGGCTGAATAAAAAGAACCCAACCAATCACACGCTTCATTCCTTCAAGCTTCATCGCTTCATTCCTTCATTCCTTCAACCATTCATTCCTTCAAGTGTGCTACAAAATACTGGCGACAAGGATGGGATCGGCGGTGCCGTTTGAGTGAGTTGCCTACGAAAACGCTGAGCATGGACATTGAGCAACTGCAAGATCAGCTGAGCGCGGCGTTGCTCCGGCTGCGGCTCTATCAGCTGCACTAGGTGTGTGTGCATGCAAAACTGAAGGGAGAAGCCAAACGGCACTCGCTGATCAGATTAATAAGTGAAGCAGTAGAGAGTGTTATAGAGACGGAAGACGATGATGTAGCCCGTCGATGATGTAGCCGTTTGTTCGAGTTTTCATGCGGGTTAACGCCAATCGGTGACCGCGCGGTACAAGATGGCGGTGGTGACGCAGACAGAAATTTGGCAGAGATCGCGCATTTAAAGAGACAGTACACAGAATTGCAGCATCAGTTTGAGTTGTCAGCAAATGTGCTGAAAAACGAAATCCAACATCTGAGTTTGAAAGTTCCTGATGTGTCAAGTCCCCCGGTGTTCTCCCATCATCATCTTGCAGTTTCTGAAGTCCCTATCCGGCGTGATTTTAAGATTAATGGCCAAATTGGAGAACAGGGTCAGAAAGATAAGCTTTCATACAACAACTTGATGCACCAAATTGATGCTGGAGTGAACAAGGGACACGGAGAGTCTGAAATAATTGATGCGGTGATAAGAGCAGTGAGTCCTGGTATGAGCCTGCATGATATGTTGGAGATCAAGACTGATTTAACCCTTTCTCAGCTGCGCACGATTCTGAAAGGCCATTATAAGGAAGAAAGCTCAGCAGACCTGTATCATCGACTGATAAACATCACTCAAGAGAGTCGTGAGTCACCACAGAACTTCCTATTCCGTGCCATTGAGTTGAAGGAAAGACTTTTAGCTGCTGCTCGAGAACCAGATGGAGAAGAACAGTACAGCCCTGATCTCATACAGAGAAGATTCCTGTGCGCACTAGGAACAGGGTTATCAAACGATCACATCAAGTATCAACTAAAAACCTGCCTTGATGATCCTACAATCACTGATGAGATTCTCATCACATCTATGAACAAAGCTGCAAGTCTTGAGTGTGAACGACAGCAAAAGTTCAAGAAGAATGCCAACATCAAAGAAACTAAAGTCAGTGAGGTTCCAGCAGAACTACGTCAAAGTCAAGAGAGGATGGGATATGCTGTTGGAGGTAAAGAACAGTCCACATGCACACAATTAAAAGCTTTAAAAACTCCACAAGTCATGGACAAGAAAGACTCTGAGCTTTATGAGGTCGTTAAACAGCTGAAAGAGGAGATCGGAGAAATGAGGAAAGCAATGAGTACTTACCGTTCCACGCAGCCCAGAGAAAGGAAGCGAGGATGCCGTGGATGTCAAGATGAGGGCAGAGGTGACCAATGTGATCATTGTTTTAAATGTGGGCAAAGTGGACATCTTTCCAGAGGGTGCAGGGGACCACCTGCAGGAAGAACGGAAAGAGGACG